TTGTCGGCCAGTACAAGAAGGCCCAGTGACTTTGCTTCCCTGGCAATCGATCCTGCCTCCAGGTCAGCATCAGTGAATATCAGCTGCTGCTTGTTCAGCATACTGAAAGAGAACTTTCCGAGATCCAGGATGAGGGACCGCACACGAGCGGGCATCGCATTCCAATTCTTGTACGACTCACCGGTGTGACGCTCTGCCACTTGGATGGTCATCATCTCAAAGATATCGGAGAGACAACGGGGCAGCGTGCGTTTACGACAGTGGAAGATCTTGCACGTCTGCATGGCCAGGAATGGTGTAGCCATCATACTAGCAAGGTTCTGGTCACGCCGCACTGCCGTTACCAGTGCCGATGCTTCTTCCGCTGATCTCAGCACCTTTCCGATGTACTCCTCTACATCCTCCTGCCGGAAACCCACAAGTTCCACACGCCGATCAAACTGCTTTTGATCACACAGGCTCAGTAACTCAACGCACGGCCGTGACGTCACTACCAGACGAAGCCCCTTCACATTAGACCCGTTGATGACGTCACGAACAAAGCCACTACACTCACTAAGGCGGATCTCGTCAAGACCATCGAATATTAAGCACACTCGCTGCGCTTGCTGGCGTACAAAGCCATCGATGCTCTTGCGCTCATCACTCGTAAACTCTCCCAGCTCTTCCACACCAAGCAGAGAGCATATATTCGTTGCTTTTCTCACCTCCTCGTGTCGCAGCTTTCGCGCTACCACCAGGTCAAACGACGTCCACATTTCGTTCCAGGCCCATTTCAATGGAGCCACTTTGGTCAAGGCGAATGTTTTGCCGCAGCCAGCACTGGCTACAACCAAGATGCGATAGGTTCGACCACCGCTAGAGAACTCCAGCATCTGCTCCTTATCAAGATCGAAGAGGCTCTCTAGCGAGATATTCTCCAAGCTACTGGCCGCCTGTGTGAAAACATGTTCCACACGCCACACGTCGCCAATCGAATCAAAACTCGCCTTACGGAACTGATCTCGGAGCTCGGGTCTCGACAAAATGATCAGTTTCACTTGCACGTCTGAAACGCTCGGTTCGTTGAGCCCTTCTTCAACCATGCCTTCTCCCATATCTACCGTAGCGCTTACATATTTCTCAACTAGCAAATCTCTCAACCTGCACACTGCCTCGGGTATGTTTCTTACCTGATCTGCTTGACCAGTGGCAAGACTTGCTTGTGTGCTGGCAGACCCGTTCGCTGCGGGTTCACCGCTATCCTGACTCGAGCACTTTGCTTCATAGTCATTACGACTGGTGTTCTCCGCTTTGCTCGCCATGACGCTGAGTGGCTCACACACCAACACCTACAATCGTAAATACCTTGTTTCTATTCGTCCTATCCAGTACTAGTGTGTGCTGCCGGTTTTCAGCCGCGAAGAAACACTGGTAGATTCCAAACTCAGCTACTGTTATTTCAATAACTCGTAATCTGACAACAGTCAAAGTCATTGGACTTTGTCTGTCCCGTAACACTCAAACTCAAAGCTCGCTTTGTCACAACAACGGCAACAATCAGCCTATGTCTGTTTTGCTGCCTTCTTTTTTTTCTTTTTACTTCACCACTGTATACCTGACTAGCAGCACCACCGGCCAGCGTTGCCTGGCCGAATGTGGCATGCGGGTGAAGCAAGTACGTGAACAGCACACGTGCTCAGCACGTGGTGGTGGCCAGACCGCTGAAGTCCCGGTGAGGGAGGTTCTTCATCGTTGGAAGGAGAAGGAGGGACGTCTGTTACGCCTTCGGGAGGCTGGTCAGGATTGTCCATCACCTGGTGGCGGATGAAGCGGCTCAAAAAATTCATAAACTTACGAACAAAAGTGCGATGCGCTCTTCACTGCAGATCAGATGCAGAGTGCAGTCAGTGCAGATCTTTTGTATCCTTTTGTTGCAGATGTTTCTATTTGCAGAGAACGGTTCACGTGGTCCGCAGCGCTTGTGCGGCTGCTAGTAGTACTACCTATGGCCTAGGCTATAGGCTAGGTGGCTACATGATTCGCACGCTTCGCGTGCTCAGTGCTTCTGCGCGCGGCGCCGGCGGCTACTGCTACTCGTAGCTCGTACTGATCGTGTCTGCTACCACCTACACTGTTCGCACGCTTCGCGTGCTCAGCACGTGGTGGTGGCTACACGATTCGCACGCTTCGCGTGCTCAGCTGCTTCTGTACTGTGGCTGCTTCCGCTAGCTACACGATTCGCACGCTTCGTTCGCACGCTTCGCGTGCTCAGTGCTTCTGCGGCCGCTAGCTGCACTGTGCTACACTGTTCGCACGCTTCGCGTGCTCAGGGCAGCGCTGCTCCGCAGCGCTTCAGCGTGACACAAAAAACACACGTCACAGGTGCCTCTTCTTTATAAGGAGCGTGACACACACACACACACACAGACACACGTCACAGGTGCCTCTCTTTTATAAGTAAAGATACACATACACATACATGTACATGGCCATGGTAGATACACTGTCTGAAACAGTTTTTTACTAGTATTTTTTTTTTTATGTCTTGCACACTGACTGTGGTCGTCTTGACCGGGCCGGACTTTGCTGTGTTCGAGCGCCGAAGGCATGCGCGGATATGGATCCTCATGTCGTCATGAAAAATAATTCATTATTGTGTAAATTGCATTCGATCTGTGGACAGGTTCGTCCTTTCGGGCTTTGTGTGTACTTGTTGTTGACGATGAAGACGCTCGGATTTTAGTAGCATGAACTGAATGATTGGAACTGCAGTACAACCGCTGCAGTGCCAAGTGCGAAATGCTGGGGGCTCTGCGTACCGATGGGTTACGCAAGTGCCACGCTAATCATTAGTCACTGATGCTGGCGTATCACACAATGGAGTTGAGACTGGAGATGTGCGTAGCAGATCAGCGGATATTGTTTATACGGCAAGTTAGTTTTAATTGTTGGAATTGAATGAGATTGGTTTACGTTGGGGATGATGTTGTCTCCTATTCTAAGCGTATCCATTTTATGAATCCAATATTCCATTAGAATTTTGAGTAAAGTGCAGAAAGCAGTGGAATTTGAAGTGTGGCTCTTAGCCCACAACATAATTGGATAAGTAATAAAGCTGCAAGAAGCGTCCAAACTCATCTTGGTAAAGGTATAGTTTAGGGTCCCAAATTATTTTAGTGGGTCAGCATGCTCTACAGAGTCCCAGGCATGCACATTACACATAGCCATAGGCCTTGGCCACAACTGACATCGAATACGATGTGGATGGACAACCACTGGTGTATGCAAAATCACCTCACGATGCGAACGAAGACGGCGCAAAGGACCATGAAAATCGCCTGAGTTTGAAGCTCGGTGATGTCGTGCGTGTCTTGAACACCTCCATGGGCAAGGGATGGTGGTGGGTAGAAGTCGATGGCGAGTCTGGCTACGTTCCATGATCATTCCTTGGCACTGAGGATGACCTGCGCGGCGCGGAGGAAGCCTCCTGGCAGAACGACGAATATTTTGACTACTACCCACCACCATCCCTTGCCCATGGAGGTGTTCAAGACACGCACGGCATCACCGAGCTTCAAACTCAGGCGATTTTCATGGTCCTTTGCGCCGTCTTCGTTCGCATCGTAAGGTGATTTTGCATACACCAGTGGTTGTCCATCCACATCGTATTCGATGTCAGTTGTGGCCAAGGCCTATGTGTAATGTGCATGCCTGGGACTCTGTAGAGCATGCTGACCCACTAAAATAATTTGGGACCCTAAACTATACCTTTACCCTCATCTTTTCTAAACTTCTTTGTCAATACTAAGTGATGTAATGTGTCTGCAGTGGCGTCGGAAGGCAATTTAGTGTGCCGGGTACGGTTAGCCGTCTGAAGTACATTATACGCGTCAGGGAGGGGTGCCTGACTTGAACATTTTGGAAATTCAGAGCCCCGTGAAGTGCATGTTATTGATTCACGTGGTACCTGGGGCAAAGAGTGGTACGGTCAATACCGTAGCCACGGTAATGTTTCCGACACCCCTGGCCTGCCATAGCAGGGGTCAGCCACTCTTGAATCCGCATAACTGTGTGTGTTCGTGTGTGTGTGTGTGCGTGTGTGTATGTGTGTGCGCGTTGTGTAGACCAGGTGTGCATTGGTGGTCGATTCACATGGCTTCGCCAGTTGTGTGAATTAGACAGTTATCTGGCGCAAGTCTTGATCTGTCTAATTCAGATCTTGTTCGCTATCGTTGCTATAAGAGAAAATCTGTGCGTGCACATTCAGTGCATTTGCAGATTTGCGTGCTTCTCTTGCAACGGGCGTATACATGGTACATGGTACATGGTGTGCGCATGTGTGTGCGCATAATTTTGCGATTTCATGTGTGATGCAAAATTCGGAAAAATAATCACCTGCAATGATTTGATTTGTACGACCCAACGCGTGTATCCGCTGGATTTGTAGGCTTGTCTGTGAATCATGAAGTCTCCAGTCCAAAACCTGTGCTGGTAACAGGACGTGTGTTAAGTGCTCTCTCAATCGTGGTGATGCGGCCAAGTACCACTTTACATGCAATGAACTGTGCTGACACCATACTGAGGACATACGGGTGAAGTAGTGTCTCGCCGATGCAGTGCTGGCCCGCCTTGCAGTGGTGTCTCGCCGATGAAGTGGTGTCTCGCCGATGCAGTGGTGTCTCGCCGATGCAGTGGTGTCTCGCCGATGCAGTGGTGTCTCGCCAATGCAGTGTTGTGTCGCCGATGCAGTGGTGTGTCGCCGATGCAGTGGTGTCTCGCCGATGCAGTGGTGTCTTGCCTATGCAGTGGTGTCTTGCCGATGCAGTGATGTCTCGCAAATGCAGTGGTGTCTCGCCGATGAAGTGGTGTCTCGCCGATGCAGTGGTGTGTCGCCGATGAAGTGGTGGCCCGCCAATGCAGTGGTGTCTCGCCGATGCAGTGGTGTCTCGCCGATGCAGTGGTGTGTCGCCGATGCAGTGGTGTCTCGCCGATGCAGTGGTGGCCCGCCCATGCAGTGTTGGCCCGCCGATGCAGTGGTGTGTCGCCGATACAGTGGTGTCTCGCCGATGCAGTGGTGTCTCGCCGATGAAGTGGTGTCTCGCCGATGGTGTGGTGGCCCGCCGATGCGAATGTCTTTGCTTGATGTGTTCCTCAACACGTCAGGTGATACGGCCGCGAATCCGGCTAACTTTAAATGTATGTGTGTGTTGGAGGGTCGGGGATTGAGTCAAAAAGACAGTAATCTGTTGTTCGGCGAATATTTATTATCGGCTATTTTCGGCCGAAAGTTTGCTGCTCCCCAAATTTTCTTTTGCAAGGTTCTGTGTGAATGTTTATACAGACAGCAGCAGTACAGGCTGAAAATGTAATGCAGCTGAAATGTGTTTTATCCCCGGGAGACCGAAATTTGAATGTGCCGAGAATTGCTAGACTTACAGTAGGTTGATGAATATGGTTTCTTTACAGTGACAAGAACTTGTGTTACCATGGTTACTGTTTCTGTATTGCTGTACAGAGGCAGCATTGTGCCTTGCCATGATCAACACAGAATATACAAGACTTAGTGCAGTTGAGGCTGATGCGCCGGTTGACAAGATTAGAGGGGCTAAGGACGACAGCAGCAGGCCGGATGCTGAACAGACTGCACATGTTGAAGCGGTTTGCGTAGCCAGCATATGAACAGGCAAGATCGAGGAGCAAGTGATCACCCATACCTGGTGAGTGCATTGTTCCTTCTGCAAATTCAGTGCCGCTGTGTGCGTGTGTGCATGTGTGTGTGTGTGTGTGTGTGTGTGTGTGTGTGTGTGTGTGTGTGTGTGTGTGTGTGTGTTAGCTAGTTCGGTTGGTGGGTACACTTATGCCTGATTGTGTTGGGTCTGTTGCCAACGGGTTTGGCTGCTTGAAGGTGTAATGTTGTACCTGCCACATTTGTTGGTTCCAGGGTTCATATACTTTCTATTTGAAGTATACATACCTGTTAACCATGAACTGCTTCTGGCTAAATAAACTCTTGTGTAATCAGTGGTGCTAGTGAAGCTTATATCAGATCCACTCTGATTTAGCTACCCACACTAGTAGCAAGTATTACCTTCGCTGGGGGTAGGGGTATCCCAGGACGGATACCCTGATGCCGTCAATCCTTTTTCTGCATCTTGTCCTCACCCCCTTACTGAGGTGTGGTGAGCCGGTAGGTGGGATCATTTTCAAGTCCACCCAGAGTTTTGGGGATTTCAGGGGGTGTCGGCCGTCGGGGCGGTTCAATAGCCAATTGAGTCATCTTGCCAAGATTCCTTTTGAGTCTCTCCCCTTTCCCGGGGAGACCCACGTGGCCAGTTTTGGCAGTGAGCAACAAGCAACACGTGTGTGTGTGTGTGTTGGGGGGGGGGGGGGGGTAGGTTGGTAAAGTAACTCCAATTTCACTTCAAGGTACCAGTGCATCTAGTGTCTGCTTCTATCAAAGCAGGCATGCTCTCTATACTGGTTACCCCAGCAAGTGTAGGGTGTGCATAGGTAACTGTCTTGGCAGGTTTCTGCCGATGTACTCCGTGTGGTGTAGACCAGGTGTGCATTGGTGGTCGATTCACATGGCTTTGCCCCATGTGTGTGGATTAGACAGTTATCTGGCGCAAGTCTTGATCTGTCTCATTCAGATCTTGTTCGCTATCGTTGCCATCAGAGAAAATCTGTGGGTGCACATCCAGTGCATTTGCAGATTTGCATGCTTCTCTTGCGACGGGCGTATACATGGTACATGGTGTGTACGTGAGTGCTCACATGCATACGTGTGTTTGTGTGCGTATGTGTGTACCAGATAGTTTGGCTGGTGTCTTCACTTATGCCATATAGTGGCTGTGTGTCTGGGTGTGTTGACATCATGCTCGACTTTTAGAATGTGTATTGTCGTATCTGACACCTTTGTCGTTTTCATGGTTCGTATAACGTATGTTATAAATTCGAAGACTCCCTGCCTTATTCCTCTGTATTTCTGTATGCTACTTTGTGTGTGTGTGGGGGGGGGGGGGGGTGTACGTGCGTGTGTGTGTGAGAGTGTGGTGTGTGTGCATGCTCGCGCGCGCGCACGCGTGTGTGTGTGTGTGTGTATGTCATCTGTTTACTAGGTCATATTGGTGTGAAGTCAGCCATGACTAGTGGTTGTGTTCTGGGAGCATGCTGTCATCTGACCAGTCAAGAAACACTGCCTGAGAATACGGTAGTGTTTGGCGAGTGCTATCAGCGTCGAGTGCAAGGTGATAAACCCACGGTAAGCTTTGCGTGCCTTTTGTGTGTGTGTGTGTGTGTGTGTGTGTGCGTGTGTGTGTGTGTGTGTGTGTGTGCCATATGGTGCAGTGGTATGTGCAGCGATTTCCAATCCATGGGTTGCGGGTTCGATTCCTGACGATAATGGTCACACACGTCTTTCTTCTCTTTCTCAGACTCCTCCTGACTTTTCTTTCATTCTCCTGGGTGGTTACCAACAGGCAGTGCATGCTGGAGTATGTGGTGTGATGTGTGTGCGTGAAAAAAAATGAAAAGACCAAAAAGTAGGGATTCACTGGCCAGAAAAAGCCACTTCATAGCTGTGAAGTGTAGACCAGGTTGAATAGTGGCGGTCAATTCTTCAGCCTTGCAAGCTTTTGAATGGTGCAACACCATCACAAACTGCTATGGCTTCTGCTGTAGCATCGCTATCATCGCCTCCGGCGAGGGGCGTCAAATGGTAAAAATTTAATGGTGTGTGTTTCACCCATACCCGAGTCTTATTGAGCCAGTTCTCATTTGCACTTGCACACAGGAGATTTAGGTTGAAAGACACATTAATTCCCGTAGCTATGCAGAAGACATTACTTCAGTAACGTCTGGCGCTAGCCAGGGTCCACACAGCTTTAATTTGGTGTTTGTTTGTGTGTTTGTGTGTTTGTGTCACGCCTGGCGCTATCCCGTATCTGTTCCGTACCGTACCGTACCATCAAACACAGCTGGCCACATACAGCTGGCCGCACTATTCAAATAGGGCTTTCAAACGCAAGATCATAAAGTGAAGCAACTTGGAAGAATGAGTATGAATGCGAAGTGTATGGGGGAATGCATGTAGGGCGATAGTGCGGGTTCGAATCCCAGGTAATGCCTGAAAAAATAGGAAAATTGAAAATGTATAACATCCCTATTCTTTTTTTGCCGTCATCAAGGCGGTAGATATTCGTATTACCCTCGACCTTACCTGTCCCGTACCTGTCCCGTACCGTACCGTACAATCAAAGACGGCTGGCCACAATGCATATTCAAATAGGGCTTTCAAATACAAGATCATAACGTGAAGCAACTTGGAAGAATTAGTATGTATGCGAAGTGTATCGGGGGATGCATGCAGGGCGATAGTGCGGGTTTGAATCCTATGTTATGTCTAAAAACAAAAAGTAGAAATTAAGAAGAATGTATAACATCCCTATGCTTTTTTTGTCTAGGTCATCAAGGCAAAAAAGCATAGCGTAGGGACCTGAGCTTCCAAGCTCTCTCGTTTTCTGTTTGCTACCTCCTCTCCTTCTCAGTATCATTGAATTCTTGTCTCCAAGAAAACTGTACCTCTTCTCTAGCAGTAATAAAATTAATCACTATCGCGTTGGATTTCTTGCTCTCTCTCTTTCTCTGTCTCTCTCTCTCTCTCTCTCTCTCTATCTATCCTTCTATCTCTCTATCTCTCTCTCTCTCTCTCTCTCTCTCTCTCTCTTTCCGTGTTCAACTCCCAGGCAACGACATTACAGCTGGACTTCCTAACAAAGATATTGCCAAACTACCATCACCTGCAGACGTTACAGTCGGCAGCAGCAGCAGCAATATCTTGACCAAAGGTATCCTTGCCCCATCCACCTAACGTGGCCCTGTGTTTTTTTGCTGCAAACCCGCATTCGCTGAACACGAGGCCTAAGATGTAATTGACTAGATCAAATCACTGGGTACGCTATCAAAACCTATCAATTTCCTCTGTATGTTCTGCTGTGGGACATGTTATCGTGTCTCATTCTTTCACATGCTGATCAAATAGCACAGATATTGTTTTAACATTGTACTCAGCAGAGTAATGCTGGTGTGTGTATTTACACACAGCTAGATCATTGTCACATTCATGTGCATTGGCTGACTCGATGGTTTATATAATTATGCACCACAGGCTGATATGGGTAACCATTCATGACATCTCTCCTGAGGTGCGTTGTACACACATTTCTAACCTATTGCTTGGATATGCTGGTTCTAGGCGGTATCCCGTTACTAGGAAATGCCCACGCAAGGCTATAATCTCTGTTTCTAGGAAATGTTGGTTCTAGGCTATAATAATTATTAGGGCTCAAACGGTTAGTCCGATTATCCGGTTGCAGACCGGTTACGAAGAATTTACGGTTAATCGATAAAGATAACGGTTACGCAGTAACTTTTCAGTCAAATTTTCGAGGATCAGGTCGTTGCAAAGTATGCACTTTCGCAGGCTGTCGCACGCGTACGCAATTTCTGGGCTGTGAACTCGGTCATATCTGGTCTCTTGGTGTGAGAGTATGTATGAATGAGCATGCAAGAGAATGTACATGTGTGAGTTGTACTGGATAGGGTACATTTTTTGAATGAGTATAGTCAAATATACGGTTAAAAAAGAGTCCGCAGGATTGCCGTGGCTTATAGGTTATAGCCGTTGAACCGACCGTTAGCTCAGCAGTTAACCGTTAGGGGTAAAACCGTGACCGTTTGAGCCCTAATTATTATGCAGTTGGCATCCCTCAGTCTGGCATGCTGAAATTTTCAAGTCGACGCTCCACGACTGCCTTCTATATTTGGATTTCGTTGATGTGGCAAACAATTGCCGCTGCTTTTAACACTGTAGTTAACATACACATGATTTGCTTCTTATCTGGACAGTGTTTTTGTGTGCTATTCTGACATGGTTCTTGTGTCGTGTGATCAAGCCAAGAACACTGCTTTTCTGCTGTTCTCGGTTGTGTATGCGCTGCAGTGTGTGCACAAGTTGCTATGTCTCACATTGCTGTTCGCTATCATCGCTTCCGCAATGGGCATGTCTGGGCATGGTACATAGTGTGTGCGTGTGGGGGGGGGGGGCTGTTGGCAATTTGTGAGTGTCTGTAGGGGGGGGGGGGGGGGGGGGGGGAGGTGCTGTGGTTTGTTTCAGAGAGTGTTTGTGTGTGTTAAGCGCGATGCACAATATCACTTCTGCGATGTGATCGAGAGTTTTTTTCTGCTAAATTTTGAATCGCAGGTTATCCCAGCTCCATCTCAGGTCTCGTCGCGGAAAGTTGAGCCCAGTTCAATTTCTGCGACGAGCGATGAATATCACTTTCTACACGGTGGCGCACGTGACAGCTCGCGTGCAGTTCTGGACTGTGCATGCCCTGATACGGTGAGCCGTGCATTGTGCATCGAAGACTCTTCGTGCAATTTGAAAAAGACTTTCGCTCGACGCTAATCGCATCGCAGAAATGATATTGTGCATCGCGCTTAATGGTATTTAATGTGTGTGGGTTGGGGGGGGGGGGGGGGGGGGCTTTATATACATGTAGTGTGGGTGTGGGGGTATGTGTGTGTGGCTTTCTGGACAATCCGGTGAACGATATTGCCGAGGCCAATATCCATGAATATACTCTCGCATATTAGGCACTGGCGGCTTATGCCGGCAGAAAAATTGGCAGAATTCGGTACTTTTTCTGGTAAGTTTCATGCATGTTTGGTATGTGGATAAAGAAATGGAGCAGAATTCGAGGAATTGCCCGCCATAAGGCTTGTATGGTTCTGCCAATTTAACTGCTTTTCGAGCAGAATCTGCCACCTTTTCGAGCATAATCCGCTGGTCCCTATCGCATATCCCATCACTGTTCCGGATACCGGTACTTCCAAAATTTGTATCCCGGAGCGAAAAGAACTTGGCATCGGTTCCTCTGATTTCGTGTCATATTCCTATGCAAATTGTCTACATACTATACTGCATGGTGTTGATGTGAAAGGAGTCCTAGAGCAGTGTCAGAGCAATCAGACGTAGTTCATAGCTGCTACATGTATTGGAAACATATACATGTACATGTACACAAAGGGAGAGGGAAGCTGTGTGGCAACTCTTAGTTTGACGTATTACTATGATGCTTGATGATCATAGTATATCGCAGTAATACTTGAAACTCAGATTTGCAACACAACTTCCCCTCTCCATTTTGTGTGGACAGCTCTGCATTATGTGTGTTGAGCACTGTTCGGACAGTGGAGCACGCCAAGTAACCATGGTTACTTGATTACTTGATTGCATGTAAGCCAGAGAAGTGGATTGTGTAATGAGGGGATTTCCCAATCACCATGACTACCTTTCCAGTACCATCCACTAATGTGACATGCAGACTAGTATGAACCTGAGAAGCAACACATCCTCACTTGACTGGACAGATGGTTCACATTGCAGTATAGTGGGACTGTGTCAATTATTTTCACTGCATACTCTATGGACTTACACTGGTATTACATGTATGTAGTGCTGTACTTTGACAACAATTTTCTATGGAATCTCAGAAACAGGTCACTGTTCCAGGGCATCCTAGCTATGCCACCACCCTCACTGGATAGAATGTAACCATTCAGTAAACTACACGTACACACATGCACACTTTCCCCTGCACACAATGAAGTGTGTCATACTAGTAGTGATGACCTGGCACCATGCCATGCACGTAACCATTCACTAAGCTGTAGGCGCATGCACACACACAAAGACACATACATGTACACATGCCCCCCCCCCCCCCCATGCACACACACACACACAAAGACACACACATCCCCCCATGAACACACATGCACCCCCCCCCCCATACACAGAAGCATGCAACCACCCATCCTCCGCCTCCCCGCCTGACAAACACACGCAATGAATTATGACAAAGTGATGACAAGGCACTATGCCATGGTCCAAATTGCCTGACTGAAGTTTGTACACTTTTCCGCTGCTTGAAACACAAGTAAATACACTACACTAAACTAGTACAGTCAACTTTGCGTATAACGACGCTCGGCGGGGCATCAGAAAAGTGTCCTTATTCGCGAAGTGTCCTGATACCCAAAGTCCCATTGTATGTATTACAGTTGGATGGGACTTTGCTCTGGGCATAGAAATTCTGTCGTTATTCGCGAATTGTCGTTATATCCGCAGTCGTTATTAGCGAAGTTGACTGTATATGCCAAGTACTATACTTGCCAAAGAAATCCGGCCAATGCCGCACATGGTAGTCGACAACGGTGCATGCAGCATTGGCCGGATGTTTTGGCAAATATTGTACATATTGAAGCAACCAACATAAAATTATGGCAACATTGCACAGCATGCACTCCCAATCATTATGACAAACAACATCAACAGGCCATTTACATGCCGCGTATTTGAACGGCCCTGGGTTGTCACATCAAATTCGAGGACAATGCCACAGTTCAAAAAAGCTGATCTCCCCACCAAAGGACAAAGAATCTTGATGGGCTGGTCACACCGTCCCAACACACATAATTATCCGGTGCCGAAAGGCGGGCTCACGCCCCGACATGGCTACTTCCCCTTGTCTAACCCCCGAGACGAAATGATAGTAGCCGACTGGCCGAAATTAAAAAAAAATTTTTTACAAAACACACAGTGCATAGAATACCCATACACACAATCAATGTAAGGTCTGAATAGCATCAGTTGCTAGTCTCATAGCTCAATCACCCGAAGGACATATTTATGCAAAGGGAATGGCAAATATCTACACTACTACTTGTATCTGTCAACAGCATACTAGCTAAGAGCAAGGGGGGGGGGGCAGGGTGGATGACTGTATAATAGGATAGTGAGATGGAGATCTACACAGGATATAGACAGGCTATCTGCTGATTTAGGAATATGAATGAGTGCTATAGGGTTACATATTAGTCAACTCAATGTGTGGACTACAAATTATACACAAACACAATGGGGGGGGGGGGGGAGGGGGGGGAGGTGCAAAGCACAGTATGTACACAGGGGGGGGGGGGGGGGGCTCTGGCAAGGTGTTGTACAGCAGAAATACTTCCACAATCATGTGGCGACAAAGGTAATGTCTTCGAAAGCCCTAGGGCATCTACAAGTAACAACGAACCTGTGGATGTGCTGTAAGCCTAGGGAATGTACAGCGGAGGCCTACTGGTACTGCTAGTGGTACACAATCTGTATTGGTACAGTTTTAAATTGTTTTCTTCTCTTACATAATCTGTCACTGCATACTAGTAGACTGTTTCAGGATAATGTGGAATTACTACCGACTATGTGTCTAAATATGCATCATTAGATGACGGTACTGGCAAGATAGCTGCGTACTACCACAACTGTATTAGGTGGAGATCCGTGTCCAAGGAAGATCTATAGGAACTGCTGCTGAAGAGACGTTTGCAGGCGTCCACGGGGGCCAGTTCAGTATGGCTGGCCGAGATTGCTAGTTTCTGCAGTGAGGTATGGCTGTTGACGGCATGCAGGAATGCAGTGACGTCATCGTTGGTTAGGCTACCCTCCAGTAGTGGCTCCAAGGTATTACCGACTGCTAGCTCTGTCAAGCAGGGCCAGGCAGTGTGCAGGTTTTCTGTCAGGACGTTGATGCAGTGAGCCCCGAGGGACTGAAGAAAGCGTAAATCAGACAGACGTGATGCACTATGCAGTGCTGTGTAGATCATGCGCACACCCTCTTCATCAATACCGTCACAGTAGTCCAGGGTGAATTCCTGGAGGCGGGGAACGTCGGCAAGTGCGTTGGCCAGGAGGAGTGCGGGGATGCTGGTGACCTGTTCTGACGTTGTTACCTCTCCACTGCTTGTAGCCTGTGCTGGCTGGGTGTTGACTGGGTGTGATGTTGCACTGCTACTGGAAGCATCACTGAAATCACATTGATCCACCAAGATCTTCTCCAGTTGTAGGTGTGATGACTTGATAACGGAGGTAATCTCCTGCCACTGCCAGCTACAGTCATAGATACTGAGATTGGTGATGTTGCTACACTTGAGTAACGATGCTGGCAGTGACACTGGGTGACGGGGCTGCAGGTACCGTATGTCCACAGACCTCACACTGCTGTGGTGGACATTGATGGCTACATCATACGCACGCAACACTGCAGGATGGTAGTGATCACCGACCCGTACACGCATGCACTGCAACGCAGCAGCAATACTGGACATGGGGTGGGTGTCGTTGCCATGGTGATGAGAATACTCTGCATAGCACAGCACGGCGAGGTCCAAGTTGTCGTCATCCTCCTCCGTTATATCGTTGTGGAAGGGATTGTTCTGTAGTAGTGGCCTATCCGGCTTGTTAGCAGTAAGAGACTGTGCGAGTACCTCTTTACCCATGCGTTGGAGAGCAGTAGCCAGTGTAGCAGTCGATGCGTCCGGGCAGCGTTCCACCCAAGCCAGCAACATTGTACCCAGGAATTCCTCACCAGTAGACGATCGACCGTATTGGCTGCGGTTCTCGACGTACTGTTTGCCGCTTCGTCCATCGATTTGGTCGGATAGCAACTCTTCTGATAGGCGATGGATTTCCTCGTAGTTTAATCCGGTGCTGAGGACCTCGAGCATATCTAGTGGGAACATGTTCAGTGGCACTGTGTCAGCCAAACCTTCACTGTGACCATCCCAGTTTTGCCCGTCTCTCTCTTCTGACTTTACCCGCGTAAGTAAACCGTTGATCAAGCAGTCAGCCTGCTCCGCGTCCAGCTGAGCCGATAGCAGCATCCAGAACGTGCGTAAGTGGCTGGTTTCGGGTCCCAGTGACTCAACCAGGCGAACAACATGTGCCAATGTTGTTGTCTTGTGGACAGCCACATAGCGAGCAGCCAGAGACTCTTGTAATGCCAAATGGCTGAACATCCATAACCGGTCCTTATCCCTGCTGCTGTTGTCGGCAAGTACAAGAAGGCCCAGTGACTTTGCTTCCCTGG